TATATATGTATATGCTTATATATATATATGTATATATAATATGGCAAACCCCCCATGAACTGTCGACCCTCGTGTTGTGACGCAAACACCGTGTTAGACCTGCTATTCCGTATCTCTCAAAGACGCCCGTCAATTCGTTCAGGTTTGACGTGAGAACGCGCTCAACGGCAACACTGTACTCTTCCAGTCATAAACCTACCCCCAGGCAGCTCGTTCAGGATCGACGTGAGCACGCACTTAATGGCAACACTGCTCTTCCAATCACAAGCCAAGTTTTTCCTAGGGCAAAAACCCCAAAAATATTTTTTGGGAAAACTATACGGCAAGACTCCCAACATATTTTTTTGGTTTGGTAGAAAAAAGGTTGGTTTTCGGTGGAAAAACAATTTCTGGGAAAAATTGGTTTTCGGTGGAAAAGGCAAGGAAAAAGATGGTTTTGGTCAGGAAAATCAACTTTTCCTAGGGAAAACAAAAAACAAAAGCAAACAGTATTTTGGAAACTATACGGCCAGACCCGAATAAAGTTCTGTGTGTTTCTTAGGAGGAAACACGTAGTTTTCGGTGGAAAAAGCAAATTTCTCCTAGGAAAAAGATCGTTTTGGGCCGAAAAATCAATCTTTTCCTAGGAAAGAAAAAGATTTTCGGCAGAAAGCATATTTCCAAGGCTACAGATGGTTTTTGGGGCTGGAAAACCAATTTTGCCTAGGGAAAACCAAAAAACACTCTTTTTGGAATCTGGCCGTATAGTTTCCCAAAAGATGTTTTTTTTGGGTTCTCTGTTCAAAACCATCTTTTCCCGAAGGAACATGTTGGCTTTTCGACCCAAATCCATATTTTTCTGGGAAAACATATGGTTTTTCCGCCCAAAACCACGTTTATATTAGGAAGAGGATGGCTTTTCGACCCAAAACCATGTTTTTTCCTAGGGAAAGTTGGTATTTCATTCCAAGACCAAGTTTTTCCTAGCAAAGAGTGTGTATTTCATTTGTTGTTTGCACGCGTTACGAATCAGTGCTGCCGATAAGGTACTTCGAGTGTCAGTACTATTGGGATTCGATTCCGCTTAGCATCAATACTATACAATAGGTAACAACCAGGACATTATTCGGATCAGTTTTGGTGTAAATAGGGACCTAGTACCGCAGGTTTTACACAGACTAGGACCCAGGATACCAGGGTTATCACAGCTTCCACTACGATTTCTTCTAGCTGACTAAGGTTGTAAATTGAATAAGAGAAACATCGGGGTCAGATTATGGGTGGTACTAAGCCTGCTATGGATGGCCTTCGGGCTGCTGTCAGGGCGAATGTTACGGTCACCATTGACAGAATTTCGAATGACAAGGATATGGTTCGGGCTGATGTTGTTTGGACTCAGGAGTCAGTTAACGATCTTCGTCATTATGTTGGTATCTAGTACAGGTTGAACCTTGAGGCTAACATGTGTATATGCACACATAAATGTTCTTGCAAGCACAAGTCCGAGATGATCATATGCTACAATGAGAACGGGGGTGCCATATGCAATACAATGAGGTAAACGACAAAATGTTGGTATCATCCCTGAAAATTTAAGGGCCGTCGTTTGGGTAACGCTCGCGCGAAGACAGTAATGATCGTGGCTCTAAATGGGTATCGTTTTGTGTAGTTTAATATTTGTATGAATGTGCCGGCTACCGTTGAAATGAAGACTAGTCAAATGCTTAGTTTGCCTGTGTTCATATTAACAGCAAGTAGCATTTCAATTGCCATGACTTTGAACTTTGAACTTCGGACGAAGGTTTCCAATGAGAACAGCTTCTGGGCAACATTAAGTTTGCGAGTAAGGTCCATCTTGGAGTTATATCCAATATCAGGGTTGCCAGAAGGACTGCAATATTCTTACTATCGGGTGGCCAATCAGGCTGATGTATGTTATTCTTTAAACATTCGGGTCGACATGGGAATTAAAAAAAGGATGTATAATGGGGTTCAGTTGACATAGCGTTTTAATCCATATGAATGAAGACGTGAATCTATAATGTTTTTCTTTTAGGTGAGCATGAAATGGAAGACGACTGTCGCCATTGGGGTCAATGTAAGGTCCAATGGCAGGTTTGGTCTTAGGGACACTGTTGTGTAGGAATACGGGTAGGAGTTAGTCATTGCTAGGGTTTTGATCTGAAACTACAGTGACGTCTAACTTGACAGACATGACTTTCATGGTTGGGAAAGTTTTATCTCACCGACATACATATGCTGTTTCCTCGGAACTTCTACTAAACCTCACGTTAAACTTGCCTCATACACCAGAAACTTAAACGCAGGAGCATTGGCTGCGCCATCTTGCACCTTGCGGTAGTTCTTCGGGGGTGGGGTTAGCGTATATACAGATATACTAATATGTATACATAAAGACAGGTAGGTATTTGTATACATGTTTTTACATACATACATACATACATACATACATACATACAAACATACATACGTACATATGTCTATATGTATGTATACATATTTTATGTGTATCTGGAATTCTATCCATCCGTCCATCCATCCAGCCAGCCATGCAAGCGTGCATACATACTGCCTGCACACATGCATACATGGGCACGAGAGCGTGTCTATGCATATGTGCATACATGCATACATGCATACATGCATGCATGCATACATACATGCATACATGCCATCAGTATCGTTTGCGAATCAGCCACCTTGAACAGAAAACCACAATTTTGGTGCCAGGACGGGTCCCCGAGAACTGGCAGTGCCCAGTCGGCACGCGTTTGGTCCTCGGCTTTCATGTTTGGTGTAGGTTTGCGCTATGGTCTTAGTTTCTTTGTGTCCAAAAGGCTTCAGAAGTTCGGAGACATTGGCTCCCCCTATCGGTCTTTTCAATGTTGCAGATGTTGTAGGCCCACGCTGTAGACCTCTCTAGACCAGAGCGTAAAGCCTTTCCGGAAACGGAACTCTCCAGCGGCGAAGCCCCTGTCTCACAAGACGAAGAAGTCTGTTCGTTCGCGTTCAAAGCGTTCGGGATGGTTGTGGTTCTGCATGCAAAAGGTTTGCAATCCATGGTCGCCGAGTTCACCGATCGGAGCATTCAAGACTGAGCATGACACACCTCGGCGGCAGTGCTTTCAGGAATCACCGGGCGCCCGTCTAGTTGAGCCTCCCCATCAGATCCCTATCCGCAGGATCCCTAAGACCAAGCCGAGAACCTTTATGAAAGATTCCGAAAGTCGACGGGTGGAGCCACCGCTCACAGACAAGATGGCAAATCGTCGCTCGCAGCCATTAGCCATCCTTCCTTGGTCCTTGCCAGGGCGCGTTCGAGCCGAACCGGACTTCTTTTTTGCTTGCTGTCTTTTCTTCAGGTCTCAGCTCAACTGAGGGTGACTATAGAAGGTTTGTCTGGGATCCCATAAAGGCCAAGCAAAGGCAGGTAGGCCTGGAGATCCGCGCGATCCTGACGACGCCTTCCTTGACACTGTCCCACATCTCCAGGAGCCAGGCCCTCTCTGACCGTCCGAAGGTCGACCTCGCCCTGATCGAGCAGGTCGGTCCTGAGAATCGAGGGCTCCAGAGAGCTCCTCCTGTAAGCTACCGCGGGAGGTTTCTTGTGTTGGATGATCAAATCCCAAGACTGGTGGTGTCGGCTCATGAAACCAACGATGGTAGTACCTTCAAGCCTTCAGGTGAGCTGCGGCTGACATGTCGCAGTCCCAACGGCCCACCACATAAATACAAAATGCTGGTCGTGCAAAGTGTCCAAAGCCAGATTGCAACGAGAAGGGGTCCCAACCAGCAGATCCCAGAGCGCAGCTTGAGCCGTCCCCATAGTCGTGTTGGAGAGGCGGTGAGCTCGCTCCCAGCAATAAAAGAGGGCGGGAACCTCAGGAGAGAAGCAGGTATCGGGCCGCACTGCAAGGCTTTCACACCAGTGTTTTTGTGGGGAAGAGGGGTGGCTGGAGACTTCTTTGAGGTCGCTCCAATGCCCCAGGCTGAAGTGGCTGAAGCTGTTCTGGTGCGGAGGCTCTCTGGGCCCCTCGACATCTCTAAACAAGCTCCCACCCTCAAAAACAAAGCGGTAGAGAGACTCCCCGCTGTCAAGATGCCGCTGCCAAAAACTGGCAGCTTGTTCAAAGATGGCGACTGACGTGTCAGGCGCAGCCTGTAGGAAGTCCGCAAGGTCCGGAGACCCAAGCACCCAAGCAGACCCGACCTTTCAGGAATCACGTGGTATCCCCTTGCGGAACCTGCAGTCATTTAGCACCCCCCGACGTCTCAAAGAGACGTGATGACAAAGAGAGCAAGTTGTTTCAACAGGCGACCCCAGAGGCGTAGGCTGATTTCTTGAAACCCTGAGATCGAGGTTCTGTGCATCATTGTGGGTCGCTGTCGAACAACTTCAGAGCAACCTACACATGTTGGCTGCAGGGCAGGTGAAAGGACACACAGTTCCCTGGTAGAAGCTCAATGTGGCAAGACATGGCAAGGCAGCTTCGGACCGAGATCTGTTCCTGGAGACTATGTCTAGAGGTAGTTTGCAGGTTTGGGGATCACTTCTACTTTTCCGGCCTTTGTGGCTCAAACCTGCGCCACGCGGCAGTCAACTCATGTCGGCAATTGCTGTATCGTGTTCGTCCATGTGGCACACTTGAGGATACGTTCACCAGAGCTTTCCTTGGGTTCCTTTGGTCCTAGCAGCCGGACTTCGATCTTTCGGACCGGATCCGTCGCACAGGAGCCTCGGATCCAAGCAGCCGTCCCAAGCAGTCAGAACTCTCCGCTCGCCAGGACAGCCAGGATGACTTCAACCATGTGGCAGGCCACACCCAAGCACGATTGCTTCCTAACTCTGCCATCTTTTCGGGCTTCGACGAGCATCAAAATGGACCGCCATGATACATAATCGAAGGAGCATGGCAGTGACAAAGTTGCAAATTGTGTTGCCAATGTGACGGTTGACTGCAGCATGGCCAAGGAGTGGTCTAGCCCTTGGGAGAGAGGTCAATCGACAGAGTACTTTCTGGACCTTCTGTGCGCGTGCAGTGACTGGTCTTCTCTTCCTTCCCTTCTCTTCGCTTCTGTTTTGCTTCCCTTCCTTTGCCTTCCCTATCACACCCCTGCCATGTGTTGACAACATGATTCCATCCAAAAATCGCCATGGCTCGAAGAAGCCTCCAAATTCGGACTTGCTCTCCGCAGATATTCGCGGACTTCCCCTGACCGCCATGGCGTCCCCGACTTCCCGCGATGCCGCCGTGGACTACAAGGGCCTAGGCCACAAGCAGGCCCAGCCGGAGGCCCGCACCTCCCGCAAGTGGTACTTGGTCGGCGCTGGCCTGGCGCTGCTCGGCGTGGCTGGGGTGGCCGCCAAGGTGGCTCACTCCGGTGGCGCATTGTTTTCCTCGAGTGCCACACTGGGAGGAACGATACAGGAAGCACAGACATGGGAGGAGCTGCCCGGCATTGACAAGGTGATCCGCAAGGCTCAGAGCTTGAAGCAGGACAAGCCCCTTCGCAATCTTCAAGATCTCTTCTATGATTCCCAGCCCGAGGAGTTGCCCTGGAACCTTGAATCGAAACTGTTTGGGTTTCGGGTTTAGGAATGTAGGTTTGGAGTTCTTGGAGTCTGGTATGGCTCTGAAAGCCAAACTTACTTGCTTGGTTCGTGTGGGGGCCTTAATAATTAGAATAGGGTTTTGGGCTTCTTGATAGTATATAATAAGGAACCCTAACAGTAATGTTGGTAATTATTTAGGTAATTATTTAGGCTTCCATATTATCTGGGAAGTAAGGATCCGCACGGAATGCGTCATTGATACCGTCCAGGCTGCCGCCTACCTGGGCCAGGCTGTCGTGTTCCTCTACAAGGCCATTGACTACGATGGCCTTGAGTGCCCCAACAACTCTCCTGTTGGATGCGCTGCCAGCGTCGCCGGCTTCATCACATCCATCAGCTGGATCGCCTCGTACCTGTCCTTTGCGGCGAACGCCTGCGGCCAGGCTGTCAACAACGGTGCGCTGTGTGCTGGCGACTTCACTGCTCTCATGGCCAACTTCGGCGAGATCGCAACCGTGGGCGCCGCTGCCAGGGCAGACTGCAACTTCGGCAAGAATGCCCTCCAGATCCTCACGCGCACGGAGACGATCTCCCCTCCCTGGAAGGAGTTCGTCCCGGCAGGAGCCTCGCCGGCGGTCGACAAGGCCTTGAAAGTCAAGGGCCACAAGGACCAACAGCGCAACCGTGACTACGACATCGTGCAGTGTGCTGTGGACGTCACCAACTCTGCTTCCTACATCGTCCGAGTCATCCTCCAGATTCGTGCCGCAGGCAGCGCCTGTGCGGACCCGAAGTCCTGCGCCGTTGGCATCATGAACATTATTTCCTCCTTCGCCTGGATCTCCCAGTTCACGGCCCTTGCCGTCTCGGACTGCCAGGTGGGCGCCGACCAGAAGGCCCTGTGCACAGCGGATACTTAGCAGCTGAGTAGGTGTGTTTGGCATTTTTGCGGTTAAGAAAACACCGTCTAAAGCTGAAAGGTTAAAGTTTTTCGGTCCTATGGACCAAGCAGCCAAGGACATTTCGGACATGGTGGCGGCTCTCACCAACGGCCCGGCTGCCGGCATCGCCTCCACCTCGGACTGCGCTGACCTCTAAGTCCCAAGCTGCGACTTTGCAGCGAAGCTTTGACATTTTCATGTAAGATCGTCGCTAGGGCGGCGCCAACTGCTGAAGAAGGCAGTGCATTTAATCAGCTCGCAGGGATTCATAGGTCTCTGCTCAGTTAGGACCCTTGGTGCGCACCACGCGCACCGAGCTTTAGAGGCTCTCTGACAGGCTAACCTGCAGTGAGTGCCTCTTCAGATTTCAGGGCCGCAGAGAGGTCTTGCTGGTCTTGGAGCACGCAGAACGAATCGGCACCAGTATGACCAATCGCAACTGCAAGTACCAGATGTTGCGAATTGACCTTTAGGCAGCAACGAGGAGTGCTTCCATAGCGGCAAGCGCACAGTCACAGTTTTGGCAATGCATGCCTCCAACCGCAACCCCTTGAAGCCTTCACCAGGCTGCCAATTCGGCTCCGTCCGGGCCCCGGCCTGCCTCTAGCACTCGTTTCTGCGAATGTTGCATTTGCAATTGTGTCGTTTTGGCTTTACTTACTCTGTCTTGCCCACCCCACTCGGACTTCATTGCGTCCCCGTCACCCGCCATTGTCGTCACTGCTAGTGTAATGCTGAGCTCCAAAGGGCTCTTCTGATTCTCTCTCTCTCTCTCTCTCTCTCTCTCTCTCGGTCGGAATGCAGTGAGTCCCCAAAGCCGCAACAGCCTGGCAACTGCCAGCAGCGGTCCCGAAGCATCGAAGCTCCGTTGTCAGCCGGTGATGAGAAGCCCCAGCCCCGCTGAGGGACTACTGGGTGCCGGACAAGCTGGCATGGGATGGAGGCCTTTGTAGACTGAAGACTTGGGAGTGATAGGGCTGAGAGTACTGTGCTGCAGCAAGGAAAAGTGCCAGCAACAGTTCTCCCTGCAGCGGCCAAGCCTAAAGTACTCAAACAGCCCCATGCAACTTCGAGAACTGCGAGCCAAGGCCCCTGTGTCATGAGGTCTCCACAGAAGCCAAAGCCGCGAAGCTTCAGACAGCTTTGAGCTCGCAGGGAGCAGCCGAAACTATGGCATCGGCTGCGAGGACGTGATGGAACTCGAAGCATCTGCTTTCTCAGCTTTTTCCCACTTGGCTTGTACAGTAGTCGACTTCGTGAAGTTGGGATTTCGCCCCGTTCTGCCACTATGGGCCTAAACTGTTTTCATTCGCTGTCGGCAGAGGGACTCGTAAAGACTCTGACAGAACAAACAGCAGGGCTCTTGTCCTCACAACTCACGAGAACACAAGATCCATTGATGTGCAGGAGTGGTATGACAAGGGAAGTGGAAGTGAGACTACGGAGGCTGGCGGGTGCAGACTCAGTATAGACGATGTCAAGCTTGTGTCGTGCGCAGGCCGAGCCGGAGCCTGTGCCCTATGCAGACAGCGAGGTGGGGCACGAGATCTGGTTTTAGGCTTCTCACGGCTGTTTGTCCTCTGTGAAGATGCAGGCCCTCTTCAGCATAGAAAGCACGGGCCGTTTGCAAAGCAGCCAACGTTGAAATCTCCTGAAGCCAGGCACGCCTGCCTCCCCCCGAGACGCCGCCGTGCACTGCAGAATCTATGCTGCCGGTCGAGGGCCAAGAGCGTGATTTCTGATGTTAATTTTGGCTGTCGTGGTCCAGTGTATCCTTGCAGTGTCAGAGCAGTCAGAACATGACATCAGTCGGCCTCTTGGACGAAGCTGAGTGTCGCAAAGGTCACCCCTCGCCCTCGCGCCCGTGCCCTTTCGCCCTCTCGCTCTCGCTGCTAGATGACACTATCCCAACGTACCCCGAATGTTCACGATGCATTTATAAATGCTACGGAGCAGAATGGCATTGGCTCAAGATCACTGAGGACTGGCTTGGTCGCATAAAGGAATGGGGACATTGATTGATCTTGGTTGCTCGGGATTGTCTAGATTGTTCCTTTGATTTTACACTTTCGCTCTCGCGCTCTCTCTCTCTCTCTCTCTTACTCTCCTCGCTCTCGCTTTCCTCGCTCTCCTCGCTCTCGCTCTCTCGCGCTCTCTCGTGCTCTCTTGCGCTCTCTCGCGCTCTCTCTCTCTCTCTGTCTCTCTCTCTCTCTGTGCCTCTTCATGTGGCCACCGCGTCAGATATTTCTCGGGCTGTCCAGCTCGTTGCCCGAAGTCCAGCAATCGGGGCTAAGGCGGGACTGTTGGAAGAGATCGGGACAGATTTGCACGAGGCAGGCTTCGGGTTGCAAACTCTTGTGTGTCAAGTTTTCGAAACTGTGAACAGCTGCTTTTCATTCAAATTTCGTCAAATTTCAGGTCCTGGCAGGTTGGGGGCAGATTGAAACGAATCTCGCGCAGCTCCCAGCCCTGAATCTTCAGCCCATTCGCCGACAAAGACCCTGAATGTCTTGGGTTCATGTCAAGGGATATCCACTTTTGCCAAAGCCGAGAGACCTTCAGGACACATGGTCGACTGGCCATCCGGTTCTCCTCTCCCCAAACCATCCAAATCGGCTGAACCCCAAACCCTGAACTGTACAGAAGGACACGAGGGCGTAGAACCTTGGAGCAGTCTTCACGGCCTTCAGGGCTCGACAAAGCCACCGAAGTGGACGGCCGGCGGCCGTCGGGGCCCAAGCTTGAGCCCAAAAGCGAAGCCTGAAGCCTACGTCGAGATCCGCGCCAAATTGGTCTTCCATGCCGATGTTGAAGTCCGAGCCCAGTCTCCAAGGGTCGAGTCATCTTCCTGTGGCGTGAAGGTGAGAGCCAGCCGGTCGATGTTTCAACGACGGTCAACATGCTGTCGAGTGTCCTGGGTAAGTGCGGCGCCCGGAAAGCTGACGCAGGTTTCGGGGCTACAGCGGCTAAGATTTGCGAATTCGTCGTCGCAGCGTCGCACGCTCGATCTGCGTCCTCGCTTCTCCTATCGGGGCAAGTCTCGGTTTTGGACCTGACCTGCGACCTGAAACGGCTTGGCTTCTGAGGCATGCTGCTTTGCACTACGAAGCAGATGGTCGGATGATATCTGTAACGGTTGCCCGGCGGAACTTGTTATATTCGCGAATTTCCCTAAGTTCAGGATTCTCACCCCCCCTGGGACAGCTTCGCAGTTCTGCAGCAGACCAGTAGCATTCTTCTTTGGATCGTCCTCGGGGGCATTGCTCTCGTCGAGAGCCCATGCGCCAGAGACTCCGTCGCCTTGGACGCCCGCCTTAGTCCCGCCTTCGGCCACCTGAATCCAACTTCAAACTCGAGAAGCTAAGGGCGGCAACGACTTTAGGGCTGAGAAGAAGCCTCCGGCTGCTGGGGCACCGAGATGCAGCTCTTTTGGGGTGATTTGGGCTTATTCCCGTGTGTTGGAGAAGTTCATGGAGAAGTTCGAGGGTGAAGTTGACGGCTTTTGAAGGTATGCATCTTTCCTTGTCTCATCTTGTCTCTCCCTCTCTCTAATCCATACACCTTGATTGGCTACGCCCCAATGGTGCCGGGATGGCTAGCTAGTGCTGCAATGAGTGCGGCAACTCAGTGGCCTCATGAACCCTTTGCTTACCCGTTTCCTGAGGCCCCGTCGTACGCAGCACCGGCACGACTGCCGCCGGTGCCGCCAGGACCACCGGCACCACAGGTGCCGCCAGCCGAGCCGGTCCACCCGGTTCAGCCAGCCTGGCAGGAGATGAATTACCCTATGCAGGACCGACGTGAGGGGCTGAAGCAGTTTTCAAGAGCAAGAGGGCAGGTGGTCTGGCTTAGGACTTGCATTTCAAGCTTCACTACTGAGCCTCAAGAGTGTTCGCCATGGAGTGAGCTGTGCACCTAGGGTGCTGAACTGCTCGGTGAGCCACCAGGACTCACAGCCGGAAGCCTACTATCAAGGCTACGCCGGATACTACCCCACCATGTACGGCCAGTACCAGGAGCTCCGGACTGTGTTTGGGGGCCTGGTGGTGTGTTTTCTCTTTTGCTGCCAACATGCAAGCCCTTCTGCTGTGTAGTTTCGGGAACCAGTCACTCTTTTGTGGTCTGTAGTCCCGACAGTCGCCTAAGCACCACTGCATACCCAATGAAGCTCCAGCTGCTGATTTCAGCGATGTCGAAGTTGCAATCAACAATGGCCCTAAAGGAACTCTTAAAAGGGCTAAGAAGCTCTTAAAGGAGCCCCTTGAAAGGAGCTCCTGAAGGAACCCTGCCCTTAAGTGCTCCTTAATTTCAAATTCCTGGTGTCAAACACTTGCCTTCAAGTTCTTGCTGTCCAGTTTGCGGATTTCTTGTTGGAGATTCCGGAGAGTCCGAAAACTCGGATCTGGAAGGAATCGGTGGAGGATATCTACGCCCAGCCGGCCCAGCCGGTTCAAGGTCTGGTGCTTAAGAGTGCGTCTTGGGATGGCTGAGTGATACGTGTAGGAACCATGTTGAGAGCTTCGACGTTTTCGGGCTTCGGAGTTGGAGAAGCTTGCCTGGTAGGTTTTGGGGATTTATATATATATATATATATGATCCCGGCCGACCCCCCCCCCCGCCAATGGCATCGCATCCCACCATCGGAAGACCCAGGTCCAAAAAGGCCCAATCCTTGTGACTGTGCGCACTTCTCTCACATGGCGGCTCCAAAACCATTAACTGTCACGAGGATCTCGTCCCAAAAACACCCGATCCTTGTGACAGTGGGCACTTTCCACCTAGGACTCTGCCATGAGGGTATTGAAAATGCAACATAATGCAACTGTCACCCGGACCGCGTTCCTGTCAGGCCCCCTCCCTTTGGCAGTTGACCCAAGAAAGGAATTTGATGATGATGATGATGATGATGATGATGACGATTTCGAAACACCAAGCAGGGGGGCGGAGGGACACAGAGCAGACTCAAACCCCGAACCACACCACATTACAGGAGGGGCGGGACTCCAAGCAGACCCAAATCCCGAACCACACCGCCAACTCAACCATTGGGGGGGCGGGGGGAGGTGGGCGGGGCCTGGCCGAACGGGATCATAAAAGGGCCTTGAGCCCCAACACCAGCCCATACCTGAAGGGTGGGTTTCATCTTCTGGGCGGGTCCAGCGTCAGCTTCTTCGGAGCAGTCTCGAAACAGAGCAGAGAGCACAAAGGAACGGTCAGAGCAAAAGCTGCAGCCGCGTCCCAAAACTCGAGACTAGCTTGTATGCGGAGAAATCTTTAGACAATGGCCTTGTGCCGGGTTTAGCCTTCAGCCGCATAAAGCAGGAGCTTGGGCAGACACCACGTCGGCAGGCCCACAGCCGTTGGACTGGTAAATGTAGCTGAGCCGAGATACCGCAAGCCTGTCGCCAGGGGCACTAGCGCAGTGCACGCCGGGAAGGCGCGCTTGGGCGGCTGCGTCGAAGTTCACAGGGCATCCTCTAGGGTGGGGTCTTGTGATGGGCACGTAGATACAGCCATTCGTCTTTCAGGTTCTGTGTTTTCTGTGGCAAGCCCAAGCACAGCCTCACGCAGCGTGGGGCACCCGGTGGTCAGTCAGCCTCCAAAGTACTCAACCTAAAGGCCTTGATGGCCTGATGCTAAAGGATAGTGAGGTTCAGTCCTGTTGCTCTAAGGCTTCTGCTCACACTGCGGTGAAATGGTCGTGGCAGCCAGCTCAGTTGAACTGCTGTCGCAATGAATTCTCGTGGACCTTCCTCGCAAGTGGCTTGTTGAGGTTATGAGGGCATGGCAGCTGAAATAAGTCTACTCACAGCTACAGGTGTTTTTTTTTTGGGTTTTTCGAGAAGAATCCGTTCAAACCTGTGCAGAATCAGAAGCCTCTCCAAGAGTTCTTGAACAGAGCACTCCGCTGGCCAGGCCTGACCTTTTTCCAAGATATCGCCGCGCAGAGTCAGGAAAGTAGCAGGTTCCGAGGGCGGGCGATTTCCAGAAGTTTCAGGTCTAGGTTCTTGGATTCAGTTCGGGCCCTTATTCCCTCAAGGTTTTCAGAAGTTGGTGGAGGGTTTGCGTGCCGCAGCGACTCTGCAGCTCCTCAAGCACCGCCGCCCCAGGAGCCAGGAGTGGGATTGGCATCGCCACGTCTCACAGTGGGCCACAGTGAAACCACTGTCTTCATTTCAATGGCCACCGGTTTGCAACATTTGGGATGGGTTGAGGTGTGAGCCCTTACAGGATCTCCACAACTGGCGGCCATGGTCAGACCATGGTCCAGCTTTGTTTTCCGATAGTGGAACGTGAACCCGAACGCCAGTTGCGCTCTTCCATTTTTGGCAAGTTTGGTTGTTGATGGGCCTCGCATGCTGCAGAGCTCAGCGCAACTTGTCGTTTGCGCAGCGTTGTACAATACTCTTAGACAGGAAAGACCAGACGACTTGTGTCAAAGTGGGTCCTTGTCCCTGAAGCGAGCAAATCTCTGTCAGTTCGAAGCAGAAGCCCAGACTAACAGATACCCGCACTGTGATGGAGATTTGTACTGGGAGGACTTCCGTGTGCTGTAGCAGTGTAGCGCTCGCATTGCTTGGAGGTCAATGTAAGGCGTTGATTTGTGGGGGTCGGACTCGGGTGTTGCGGTCGATGTAAGCCTTCGGAAGACGAGGAAGTTAGCTGCATGTGGAATGCAGGATGCAGAATCAGAGCTTGTGTGTTTGGGTTTCAGGGCTAAGGCGGCTAAGGGTTGACGATGCCTCTGTTGGATGGATCAATGTTTAGAAGGCTCCGCCTGTCTCAGACCCAACCCCTGGTGAAATCGGCTCTTTAATGCCGTGCCCATCATTGCTCAATCTGCAGTCGACGGGCAACTGATGTGTCGCGGATGCAAGTTCGGCAGGTATGCGGCCCCGTACTTGAAAGTGCTTCTAAGTCTGAAGCCCCAGTCTCCGAGTCGGCAGAATGATCCCGACTTCCACTTCTACTTCTGCTTCTTCTATTACTGCTACTGCTACTGTTACTACCGCTCCTGCTGCTGCTTCTACGACAACCACTTCTACTGCTGCCGGTGCTAGGTCTGCTCATTTGCACAACGCCATGGCCACGACCAGCAGCAGTAGCGAATGCTACATACAAGATACATAGCACAGTAGTAAGTTTTCTAGGCTAGGTTTATCAGTATGTGATGATGTACCAGCATGAGGAATCAGGATAAGACACTTGAGTATCCACAGGCTCATTCGCAGCATTACGCAGCAGCAACCTAGAATACTCAAGTCACAGCCAACTGAATGCAACGCGTCGAAGATCAGATCCTGTCATCATTCTTCTTGCAACCGTGACACCTGCAATTCGACGACGTGGCTTGTATATATGCTTCACGTGCACATCATAACAGTACTGTGACATCCTTGTATATCAAGGCTTCATGGAAACGGAAAATGCAGGCGCATGGGCGCATCAGTATTGTCGTCACGGCCGGTTTTGTTCGTGTTTGACTCTTCAATGCTCGTGCTGACCCTGTTCGTTCTAGGGATGAGCACCCTTATGCTCACTCATCATGCAGTGAGATTGGGTGCAGGGGTTTAACTCCTGGATTTTCCAGTGGTTGCGGTGACAACTCGTTTCACTGCAAATGTTTTGTACTGACCGTTCCATTTCCGCGGATCCTTTGCCTTCCTGAGCTGGGGGGCGCGCTTGGCAACTTCCTCGACGGCAGAATATGATCGCTTGCCATGGTAGGTGTTTTGAGGACTTGACGACTTCATCTTGTGCTCATGGAAACTGAGCTCAAGACTCAAGACCCTTCCCTTCACGGCTCCGTGTGGAGGGCCCAGCGCGACAGCCAAGCCGGTGGCGAGTTGCTGCTGAGACAGCGTGCAGCAACCGCCGGGATCCTGTGGAAGAACCCTGCCGCTGGGTGAGGAGAGGGAAGCTCCCAAGTTTTCGTGCATGGAATTGAGACAAAGAGGCAGGCACTCAGGTTCAGACTCACGGCCGTGCCAAGACGCCAAGACCCACTTCGCTTCTCGTTCTCGCACTGGCATGTGGTTTGGACATATGGCTCCCTAAGACAGGACGTGAGAGAAGCAGCAGCAAAGAGCAGTACAGCAAAGCATAGAGAGAGAGGAGGTGCTAGCAGGATGGGCCACAGGGGGCTGTGTCAGGGTCGTAGGTCGGGGTCGGTCCGCCTTGCCTGCGATGGTGCGCATCGTGAATGGTCAGGTGGTAGACTCTGCCACGGCTGTGCAGAAGAGGCTGTCTTGGGACATCTTGGGGCGGGACCAGTTCTTGGAAGTCGGAGGTTCTCGCCAGGGCTTTGAACCCGGGATCCTTTTTGAGCTGAAATGACCCGAAACTTCTGAGGAGGTCGCAGGGTCCGCTGGACCAAGTGGCCGGCTTCTTCTGGTCGGCCAGGGACTTGGCAGTTGGGACTTCACACTGCGTCTTTTTTCGCGTTCTTGGAGTTCTTGAACAGTTGCTATGTTGAGTCTGGGAGGGGGCCACGTGCTCTATTGACAGCAGGATATTGGCATAAGCCTATCGGGGTCCACAATATTAGAGACACGTCGCTGCCGTGGATAGCAACCGTCCCCCTCAACGCAGGTTTGGAGTCTTCACTTTGGGCTTGTGCTTCGAAGTGTATTGTGGAGAGGTTCGGGATAAAGCTCTTGTTGACAGTCGGTTCCAGTTCGGATGCAGGAGGGTCCCCGGGAAAATTCGCTGAAGAAATCCCAGATCGTGTCCTTCTTCGTGCTGTTCTTCCACACCATGTTCAAGCCGGGAGCAGGCCGAGTGGGCTCTGAAGCCGCTCTTCTGAGAAGACGGCCCTAGCCACCCTCGCCCTGACCTTCAGAGCTTAAGAGCTTTAGACCGCTTTCGTTTTGCACGTGCAGGTGGGGGCAAGCGAACCGAGGGACGGTCACGGATCAAGACCATCAACCCAGGAGCTGGGAAGGGACATGCGAGCAGTCTTCGGTCCTTGCCGTTGCGTAGGTTTAGTCTCAGCTCCTTCGAGTAAACCACTTGGTGGACGCCGGATGTGTGTACCGGTGAACTCGTCGCACATGCTGGCCTTCAGATGCAACCATAGACCAGAAACGCACGTAACAGCCACCGGGTCCATTGGGCAGCTGTAGCAGAAACTTGTGAGGAAGCAGTAGCTGCAAGCAGGAGAAGATCTATCGTCCCAGCCTTGTACCTTAGACTTTGACAGCCTCCAAACTAGATTTGATTGTTCACATCTCAATCTTGCCTAAAATGCTGAGCTCCCTGCTGACAAGCTACTACCGCTTGCAGTTTAGACGGCGGCCAAACGAGTCCGTAGCTACGGAGCCCTGGAAGCCCCTGAACGAAGTCTGCAGCGTCTGCAGGTTCTGACTGGAGGTTGTTGGGTTCATAGCTTGCAGCTTTCTAAGGCTTAGACTTAGTTGGGGTTTCGGGTTCAAGGGTTTCAGAGTGGTTTGTGATGCGCGGTGGTTTGTTCATATCCTGAGGACTCTGACGCCTGCACTCCCACCGCCCATCTGCCTCCGACAGGAGGATCCTCGAACACACAGCTTAACGGCTCGCCTCCCTTTGGTGGCGGCGGTGGCTGAGGCATGAAGGGGGAACCGCCAAGAATGGGGTTTTTCGGGCTGTCTTGCTGATCCGTTTGCGACTTATGATAGCACGGTTGAGACAGTTCACAGCATTTTCTGTTTGCCAAGATGTATGGACAGTTCAACTTGTTCGAAGTTAACATCATAAGCCCAAAAACAGGTGTTCAGGCATCCGTACTCTGTATTGCAAGCTAACTTCACTATCCCCTGCCATTGCAAGATGGTCTGTGCGAAGTTCACTCTCGGCGTCGCTATGTCCGGTTGACCTAGTGCATGACTTCGCTGAGAAATGCAGACACAAGAGCGAGAGAGAGGGAGAGGCACGAAATCATCCTCCCGGAAAAGGAACCAGGGGCCGAGAAAGAGATAGTCCGCGTGCCCAGCGTGTTCTTAAAAGGTTAGACGTCGGTCCGGCCGGACCCGGACCGAGATTTGATGAACACAGAAGCAGCCGGGACCCTCAGAGTCGAATCCACCGTCCGGATTCCAAGCTTTAGCGCCCTAGGGCCGTAGGGCCTTGGCTCATCTGCGCTTTCAGTTTGACAGTGCAGGTTGATGAACTCGGGTTCCCAGTGAGCGCTTCCGAATACCGCTGCCGTGACACAAGTAAGTTACTTCTACCGATAGTCCTAGAAATCCATGCAGTGGTACTGGTAGTGGCACTGGCGACACTTAACGTGTACACTCCTTGCAGTGCAAAAATGCGGCTGCCTTCAAAAGCAGCGAGGCCTGGCACCCTCAATCTGCTGCAGCACGCACAGCGATCGGGGGTGCAAGACTGAAAGTTTGACAAGAATACAGGTCAATTCACTTCATCGGGCAGCTGGGTTCCAACCCAAAACCCTTAACCGTAAGCTTCCGGCTCACCGAGGGGAAAGGCCCCTGCTCCCAAAGCTTGGGTAACACCCCTGACCAAGAATTTCGTCTCTCTCTCTCTCTCTCTCTCTCGAATTTAACCATGAAGCCCTCGTCTCAGGCGAGTGATGCGGGAACCACCGGCTTGACACCGACCTCCTGCGGAGTGCCTCGCCGTTTGGACAAGTCTTCGGGCTGGGTTTGGTTTGCAACATCTTCTTCCGATGCACGATGCAAAGTGTAAGCAGTCTGGAGGTGGAAGGTTTCGATTGTCATCGCCAGGCTCTTTGGTTGAAGGGCTGAGGATTTCAACGTTTTTCAGTGCCCTGATTTCGTTTCGAACGGGTTTGGCATGTTCCGGGCTTACTGTACCGGGGTATCTGGGCCGCCCTGCTGGTGATAGGTCGCCAAAGTTTCTGTGCTGTGGCGGGTCGTGTCTTCAACAATACACACGCGACATCAGAGGGAAGGCCTTGACCCCAAGCCTTCAAAGTAACAACTCCCTTGAACCTTAAACCAACAGGTGCCGCTTCATGAGCGTGCTGGATGCTCTGAATGTCAGCCGGCTGCCCGCGTAGCCATGCAGGGCATCGTCATGTCAGGATGTCTCAACAGCCATCGGAGCGTGAGGTTCGTTCTTTCGAAAGGCCTACTGAGGGCCTACTGACGTGTTTGGCATTGCTGCGGGGTTTGCCTGTGTCATGATGGGGTTCGGGTTTCAGCACTGCATCCCCGAAGTCTCCCTCAAGGCCCCTGCCTGTGCTTGAGAGGCATCCAGAAGCCGATTCCCGAAATGGCCGCTCCCTTTACAAGCTTTGTTGTAAGGGGTCGGTGAATTCGTGCCATGCTGCTCGTGGCTGCAATTTCGGGAGTTGCCCATGTTTCACCAAGTGCGAGTGCCGTAGGAAAGGCCATGGGCCCTTTTCAAGATCCCGGCGCCCTAGGAAGAACCTTCGAGACCCAACTTCCTATCGGAATACCAAAGCAACCCAACTCCGAGACCTTGGGCCCGACGGCCCTCGTCGCCTAGAAACCGCTGGCTTTCGAGGTCAGAGATGCAAAAGAGATCCGAATCTTCGGGATCCGAAAGAAGGGCCCTAGGCCCTAAGCCCCAACCCGTTCAAGCCCGTCGCCCCACAGCATCGCAAACCCGAAGCTCAAGCCCTCCGCTAGGGCCGGAGGATCTGAGGGTCAGTTGTCGACCGGGTGGATTCTGGAAGAGTTCTTACTCTGCTAGCGTGGGACCGCGATGCTGTCGAGATTTCCGCTGATTCTGGATTTAAGGAACTAGGTGTTCGGCAGGACCATCCTAGGCCCTGGTGTTTGGGTTTATTCGTGGCAGAGGTTCAACTCTTGCTCCTGTTCCGGCACAAGCTCCAAGCAGCCATTAGATTTAGGTCGTCAATTCAGTGCTGGATGTACCAGAGTGACTTCGTGTCGATAATGCAGCAGTGACTGCATGTCTAGTCAAGATAACGGGCTCCTTTGCCATCGCAAGCGTATAAGCCTGTGAGCTACTTCTGAGCGATTACAACATTTCCGAGTTCGTGGATGGAAGAAGGTCGTACTTTTCAGATCACTGTCGCCTTGCATTTCGAGCCGAAGCCATGCAGTGTCTGGCGAAGGTCCCATGGACAATCTCTGGCTTCTCTCATGAGTCGATGGTGGCTCTGCTGTTGGTGGTGGTGATGGTGGTGGTGGTGGTGGTGGTGATGGTTTTGGCGGTCGTTGTCGTCCTCAGCGGCATTGCCGGCACCACCACTGACGTTAGACAACTGCCACCAGATCCTGCAACCACTATCACCACAATGACATACTCCGAGTGTCCATGCGAAGTATCAACTCAGTAGTACCACCACCGCAGCGACGACGACGACTTCTACTCCTGCTGCTACTACTACTACTACTACTACTGCTACTACTGCTACTACTGCTCCTACTACTACTACAACAACAACAACTACTACTACTACTACTACTACTACTACTTCTACTACTTCTACTGCTACTTGCTACTACGACGACGACTACGACTTCTGCGAGAATTGCTACTGCTACTGCTACTGC